GCCCTCACCAGAGTCCAAACCAATGGTGTTAGAAGGAGATACCTATCTCCTTCTAAAAGTGGCTCAACAATTAAATGTTACTAAGTTTTGGGTTACTAGCTTCTCCTTCTAGAGTTGGATTCCAGGTTCTTCTCATCTTAAAGAAAGAAATGAACAAAATGAGCAAAAGACAGGGACAAAGCTTATTTGAAAAAGCAAAAGTGAAGAGTAAGGGAGAAACGCTCTGTAGAGTGAGCTTGGGCTGAATAAAAGAGGAAAAAGCAAAATAAAAGTACACGCTGGAGGACAATGGGTGGCCTATCATGAGGAAAACCATGATAACAAGTTCTGGGTATCTGTGTCCTTTTATGTCATCCACATCTTGAGGAAACCCATGAGAACTTCAACATAGGGGTTATCCCATGCCTCAGGCTGATGTCAGGGTTAGGCCGTTATTGAAAACCTGCTCAAGTTCTCCAAAGAAGTCCATATTCAGGGCTTTGGGAACTGTTCTGTGCATGTATTCTGGGATCTTGTAATTAATAGGCCATGCCTACTTCCCCGGAGAGCTTTCCCATGCCCTACTCTCCTGTCTCAATGGGACTGTCTGCTCTTGGACTTTCAGCCTCCAAACTTGTGAGTTAAATAAACCCCTTCATTTAAAAGCATCCAGCCTTTTGTTATAGCAACGTAATATGGACTAAAATGCTACCATTCAGGTGAGTATGGGCTAAGAACAGAGAAAGGATCCACCCTCTCAATCTCCACCTCATTCTCCTTCATTGGGTCTTCCTCAACCTTAGTGTGCTCTAAATGGAATTCCTAATCTTTCCTAATTCAGCACATACCAAGATAATTCAACCTGTTGCTCCCGCTATACACATAAGATTTTGTAGTTGTTGTTGATGATGTTATGGACTGAACCTTGTGCCCCTAAAATTTGTATGCCAAGGTTCTAACCTCCAGTATCTAGAATGTAACTGTATGTGGAATAGGATCTTTAAAAAGATAAGTTAAAACAAGCCTGCCAGAGCGGACTCTAATCCAGTATGACCAATGTCATTAAAAGGAGGGATTAGGACACAAAGACACTAGGTATAGGCTTATTTTCAGAATGTGAGGACACAGAGAAAAGTGCCATTTGCAAGCCCAGGAGAAAAACCTCAGAAGAAACCAAACCTGCTGATACCTTGACCGTGGACTTGCTGCCTCAAAGACTGTGAAAAAATAAACCTCCAGTGTTCCAGCCACCCAGTCTGTACTGTTTTACTATCGCAGCCCTAGCAAAACCACATCTTCTCAATTTCTTTCATGATCAAGTCCTGCCCACTCTACTTCCTAGATCCCTCTATCTTCTCTATGTGCCTCTTACCTGCCCCAGTCTGAGCTCCGCCAAACCCAGTACAGACACCCGCTGCAGACTTCCAATGGTCTGCTTCTACTCTTGTCTCTGTATAATCTAGTCTCCAAAGGCAGGCCGAAGTGATCCTTTTTAAATGATATAGAACCTTTACTTTGGAAAAAAAGGAGTTCAATAATTCCCCAATTACTCGAGGAATAAATAAAATAATAATGAATAAATAATGCTGTAGCGTGGCTAACAAAGCCCAGCACGATATAGCCCCTGCCAACCCTCTGGTTTCATGGAGAATCACTTTGGCTTTTTACCTACCCTGCTCCAGGAACAGCCACCTCTCATGGTTCTTCCTGGGCACAGAAACAGTCTTCCACACATTTTAACCCTTGTTGAAATTTTTGCTTAGCCCTTTCTCTTCTTCTGCATGCTGATGCTCATGCATTCTTTTGGTCTCAGCCTAAATGTCACTTCCTAAAAGGAAGCTTTCCCTGACCACGGATGTTACATTCTCCTTTTCTAAGTTCTGATAGAACGCTGTCCTGCTTTCACAGCCCTCGCAAATAAAATGAAACAATTATCTGTATTATCATGTGTTAAATGTTTCTCTAATGTATACATTTCCTGAAGCTAATTATCATGTCTGTCTTTTTTGTATTCCCAGAAGTGCATAGTGCCTGGGACATATTTATCAAAATAATGAAGAATGACCAGAAAGCACGGTTGCTTTCAAGAAATATAGCTGAGGCCCCAAAGAAAGAAAATTTTTGTTTCCTAAAGGTCTGCCAGAGGAAGCTGTGTTATGTGAATTCAGCTCCTACCATGACCATCAAGAGGAAGAAAAAGGAAAGTAGCCATTCACTCCAAGTCTAATGAGTGGAGCTTCTTAAGATTACCTCTGAGATTCTGAGTTTCACAGACTCAAACCTGAGCAAGCAACAGCACCTTTGTCCAGTGGAAGTAACCATTCCCTCTTTAAGGTCCACGAGTCCTGGGGTACAGATGTGACAGCAAAAATATCATTGGGGCAGGGTTAAAAGAGCAGCATTTCAGGGAGAGAGGAAGCTGGTTATAGAGGAAAGAAGGTGCTGAGGTAAAAGTGACCAAGAAGGACATTGCTCTTTTCAAGGGAATGGCAACCAGATGGGCCTGAAAATAAGGCAGGAAGAAGTCCTCTGGGGACTCCTACAATGCGAACCACTGACAGAGTCTGCCTTAACACCTGGCCTGCCTAGACAGCAAGCTGCCATCTTCCAACAAAAACATCTGATTTCTCTTATTTTGTATCAGTATCTAGCAGTCAGAAAGAGAAGAGTAAGAAATGTGGCAGGAAGGGATAAGGAGGAACTGCACAGGGTTTCCACCTGTACCAAAAATTCTCACTTGCTTCTCGAACAGGAGAGGAACTAATTCTTTCCTCTGAATGAAGATAAAGTGTTGATTAATATATTGGGTTAAGATCACAAATTACTGAATCGAAAATAGAACACAGAATGGATATTTTATGCTACTGAGCTGAGACAAGAATGAACACAGAACTAGGAAGACCAGAAAGTCCTGCCCCTGCCCAAGTTTACAGGGGAAGGACTCCCTCAGCAGGATTCAAAAATCTACAAAGGACAAAATAAAGTCCATCCTATGAGATTGTTCCATGAATCCTACATGTTCCAAGTCCTCATCATAGTGGTTCAGGTGACCAGCCATATAATCCTTATTAGGTAGAGAAGGAGGAGCAGCCAGAAGGGACCTGGTGGGAGAACATATCTCTGTGGGTGTGCAGCCTCAAGAAGGGTGTGTCCAAAAGTGAGTTATTGGAATAACAATCCCACATGTTGTGTTCCCAACATTATTTCTGGGTGGGAGCACAATGCAGAAGGTAAAGCTAGGATTAGGTAACCAGTGTACCATGGAACTAAAGAGGTAAGGTTATCAGTTGTTACATAGGTAGAGAAATCTGGGACCCTTCATGGCTTAGAATGTAAAGGAAGATGGGTCATCCAGGCCTCCTTCCCTACCTCCCTACTAAAGTTGCTTCTATCAAGATCAGTGGTAAGCTCCACAGTGTTACATACACTATACATAGTACAGGCAATTCTTATTTTTCATTATGTCATAGTATTTGGCATAACTGATTACTGTACTTCCCCATTCTTGAGATGCTTTCTTCATTTAACTTCTAGGATTTCATTCTATGATTTTATTTCTTGTCCTAGCCTATCACAGTCTTCTGCTAGACCAATCTCATGGCTTAATCACAGCACCTTTTCTCTTTGCTAACTTACTTCCCAGGAAATCTTATCCAGTCTTGCAGCTTAAAATAATTCTATACAGGCTCAAGAGTGTGTGTGTGTGTGTATATATATATAT